ATAAAGCCTAGGGCTGTGTTTCTTACTGCCACCATTCTGAACAGTAAATTTAGCTTTCCTCCCTCATGCTCTCATAGCTAGAAATGTGAAGAAGCATCACATGCTGTTGGTGTTCCCAGTTTAGTCTCCTGACAACTGGCTGGTGAGATACATCACATAAGGTATAGAACAGTTGCTTTGACTCTGCAAAGAATATGAAAAGCAGAAATTACGAGCTCTTGTTTTCCTAAAAAAGCAAAGCTAATAAGAAACCCTTATTAAATAGCTGCTATAGAAGAGTAAAGACGCTACTGAGCTTGCAGTAATACCACATGCTTAAAAGATTCAGAACACACTTCCTGCATGGAGGACATGCACAGCTACCCACACATACAGAGGAAAGAATGACTACTAATGGTTTTTTTAATTATACGACTACTTCTTTCATGTTATAAATGTTTGCTCCTTATCACTAGCTGCATATGACCATACCACATGGACAACCAGCTTCCAGTTAGCTGTGAAGATAATGACTTAACATCATAATATCTTAGGTAGAAGAATGTACTAGTGTACAACCACTGTTGTTGGTTTCAGTTACAAGATCTCTTACAAAGTAATCCAGAATGAAAGATGTAAAATTGTAAAGCTTCCACAACAGTTTAAACAGCAAACTATACCTTTCCAAAGTCTGCACATAAAAGCCAAAGGGACAGGGTATCCCTATTCTCCAGCAAGACAGCATTTAATAGAGAAATGCCAAAGTAGTTTAAAGTAGTCAGTTTACAATCAAGCAGCAGATTGGACATGCTACATATTAATTTACCCGGAATATCAGCAAAATCTAAACTTATATATATATAAATATACAAAGATGAATCGAAGTAAGGGGGGAAGAAAATGTCAAAGGATGTATCTATCAATACAAGTCTGTAAAAAGTAGGACAACATTTAGCACTTAATAGCCAAGTTTTAGATTTACATATATGTATCTGTGTTTATATATATCCCTATCTATCCATCTGTAAAATTATATGCCTATTTTCACTGAAGACATTTCAGTGCTATGTTACTGCAAGATGCTGAATCTGAAAGCAGGGGTATTGCACAGCTGAACGAAAGAAATTACAAGTTTTTATGTTACCATATCTTTCTTTTCCAAGTTTTCTGTAGTTTCATGCAGCTTAAATAAAAGTATTGTGTTTAGACAAGCACAAGTCAGTTTTCTCCTCAGCTAAATATTAACTACTGCTTGAGAACTACTATGTTTTCCTGAGCATTTATTTCTATGCCAACACGATATCTGCTTCTGTAGCCCGATACTTAGCAGGAGATGGCTGCAGCTTAGCACAAGTATTGCATACTTCATAGCAAAAATGACCCATGTGAGAGACCAAAATGGGACATCCTAGTGGAGCTGTGGAATTGTTTTCACTTGACATTAATGAACACTTCAAAGAATACTTAGGAAATTTATTTCAACTACCTATTTTTGTTCCTGTTATTAACGCTTCAATTTTGGCACGTGTTTAGCTGGTAGCTGCTACAGGATTTCTTAAGACAATGAGCAAGGGCTTACAAAATTAGACTGTTTTCCCAGCTACCTGTTCAAACTGGACCTTTTTTTTTTCTTTTTCTTTTTTTTGTTCTTTTTTAACAATAAAGAATTTTTTCCATGAGATTTTATAACTCATAAAATTAAAAATGCAGCTTTCAATCCACATCATATATGTGCTGGAATATATTGTGATATTCTTTGTGAAAGAGTAAATAATGGGGGAGGTAGGTTTAATAAAGAAGTCAGGTAAAACTATTATTAAAACAGTTTCTATAAAGTCAGGAATAATTACTGCACTTAATATAAAAATAAATTATACTAATAGCAAAAAGATCCTCTTTCTTCCAGGGGAATTCTGGGAAATTCAAAAGAAAGACGGATAAAGCATTGAGTACATACTGAATAATCACAGTTTGTTGTTTATTGTATTTTACTAACTTAGTATAGGGTTATAACAATTAGAAATACTTTCTTTTATAGGCACAAACAGCTCAAATTAATACATCATTAACTGTGTAGAGGATGCAGCCCATGGCTCTGAAACATAGCTCATTAGTAACTGCAAAGTAGTACAACATGTCCATACAATTCTTTACTATTCAAAAAGTTAAAAAATGGTAGTAACAATGCCATACCACTCTGCACTAACAATCTCTAAAAGCACCTCTGACATCAGGCATTCTGAACTTCATGAAAACAGAAAACTTCATGTGTGTTTTTAAGAAAGTGCTTAGATTTTAGTCCTAAATCCAGCATTTGTTCATGTGTTAGTGTCCAGCTTGAAAGGTGCGTAGTGTATAACAGCTTACATCGAAGTCAAAACAATCTCTGACTGTGATGAGAAGAAAATTTTATAAAAGAAAGGGCCTGAGAGAAAAGTACTAGTTGACACAAAGTATTTTCATCAACTTTAACAGGATTTGGAATTAGGTAACAGCAGAACGAGTGACTTCCCAACCCACTTCATTTTTTCCTGACTTAAAACCAGTTTTAATAACATACAAACCCTTTATTTACACCAAGTTTATACTGGTAATGACTATGTTTTGGAGCCTCAGACATGCCAGATATGACAGCTCAGATAGATCTGATAGACATGCAAAGCCTCAGATGGGCTTTGCTTCAGTTTACCCTATACTCTATTTATTATCCATCTATTTTCAGAGCAATGTATGTGCAAGTTAAAGATTCTTTGCATCATTGTTCTACTTCCTCAAAGGAGGGAGGGAGGGAGAAAGGAAGGGAATGACAGATGGAAAGAAAATCTTCCTTACTAGTAAAACAAACAAATGAATTATCCTGTTTTCCCAACATTCACTCTCCACCCTAGTCAGAGACAGAAATTACACATATTTAAAGTTAAAACAGACTTAAACTAAAATAAAATCCCTACACAAAATCCCTATGCTAGATTTGGCTTATACACGTTCTAAATCAACATCAGTCATCAATCATTTGGGGCTATCAAATTAAGTGCACCCACAAAAAACTATGGGCTTACCAGATTTACTCACACTGCTTGTAAAATCACACATAAGAAGTAATTGCTAAAACTCTGTAGATCATGCCCTTTATCCACAAAGCTTAGGGAATAATACATGCAATATTAAGAAGCCTAACTCACAAACCTAAAATATGCACTAAATTTAGTATTGACTTTCTTAAGAAAGTGAGTATAGGTCTTGAAAGGCTGACTTGCTTCAACAAATAAAAAACAGTCATTATTAGAGACAGACATTGAAGACACAGAAAAAAACAGGAGTTATGTATTAATTTCTTCCTTACTTTAGCTACACTGCTCATAAGGAGTAAAAAGCACCTAAAGCCACACAGGGAATTCACCTTAATAATCACAATGGTGTACTGGCTTCTTACTAAGTATAATGTTGAACTGTAAGAACTCATTTTTGACTTAAAAAAATATGTACTTCAAAGAGCTCAACTCTCTGCTTACGCCACTTCTCCACAATCTAGTCAAGGCCCACTATCTGCAATGTTCCAGGCATACCAGTGTTGCCCATAAATGTGATTACACAGGAGCTGCAGAAAAACATTCCAACTGTACCAAGGTGCGCACAATACAGAAGTAATCTCATCAACAGCTTTGTGTGAAAAGGAGAGGCTTATGTTATTGATCCTGAGTTAACGTTGCCTGTGGTGCATGTGTTGATTAGTGATGGAATGAGAATTACAATTGCAGTTACATTTATGGCAAGACACTGCTCTTTCCAACATAAAATCAAAATAAACAAAAGAAGTACAAGTGATGATTTATTGTGATACTTTCAAAACAGCAGACAATGACGTGACAAGAGCAGGCACACAATTCTAACTGGTGGATGTAAGAATATCTCATCCTATACAGCTACTGGCAACATTGTAATATGGTGAAGCAGCTATTGAAAACACAAGAACTTACATACTACCAAACAATTTGCTGCTGTTGAAATTCTATGATAGCAGCCGTCATGGTATCTCTACAAAATTGGTTTACATCGTGACCCACCGGGAAAACACATCTCCTTTAATGCTGACAAAAACAAAGTCTGAATAAAAAGTTTCTATCGTGTCTTGCTTCTTAAATAAAAAAAAATCTAAAACCAACTTGACTTACAGAAAGTGTTAAATAGTTGCAAAGGGCTAATTATACCATACTAACTTCCTTTTGTCTAGTATAAAAGGACATTTTCTTACTTTGCCTGTCTGAGTATAATGGCCTATGAATTATGAGATCAAAGCAGCAAACTGTATGTTTTCTAAAGTAAGAGTTTCCTTCGCCAAGTTTTACACTTACTACAGCTAAAAGAGCTGTGTGAAGGGATCAGTACTAAACCCAAAGGACAGGCTGTGCACAGCAAGAAAGAGAGCAACTCCCTCGTGCTTTTTGCAGGTCACTACCAAGGACCATGTTAGCAGATCCACACCAGACCCTTAACAGGCAGCTCTGCTGCTACCAGTAATTAGCTTGGACAGCTCTGGCTCCAGGAGTAGCAGCAAGGCTACACCATAATGAGCTCAGCTGGGATTAGCAGGACAGGGCAGGGAACCAAGAGAGCTGAGGCATTCTGCATTGCGTATGTATCGCAAAGATCAAACAAGGATGGCTGGCTAGGTTATCCCCTCACCACCTCATTCCAAAAATGAAGCACGGCAGTGTGTAAAATACAGGCTAATGAAGAGCGACACCTCCAACAGATGAGAGCCACATTAATTAACACAATCCCTAGATCATGGAATACAGTATCTGTTAGTGCTAGCAAACTTGTAACTTGTCACTGATTTAAGAGGAGAGGGGGAAAAAAAAAAGAGCTGATGTTTTCCTTTTCTGCTTTTGGAGGAAAATGGTTTTACCTTGGAATTTTGAAAGTAATTCCTCTTATGTAGCCTGCAAAACACTACCTGCAGGAAAAAAGCAGTGGATGTTTTTTTGTATATGTAAACAGCATTTAAGAAACAAACTCACTTTTCGATCAGTAGCTTTTTATGTTCTCTTTTGAAAAAAGCCAGTTCATTCCACAAAGCACCAGAATCCTCTTGACAAAGCTGATGGGAGTCTGCATGCTGGTATCTGCTTTCACTACTTTCAATCCTGTTGATGAGTAAAAAGAGGTTGTTTGTTTTCAAATACCTGCATGGTTTAGGACCACAAGAACAAAAGCATACTTACTTTCAGAAACCACAAATTTTAAACTACGGCATCTACTGAATATAAATCTTGCAGGATGTATATATTGAATGAAACATGAAACCTTAAATGGTGGTATTATAGAAAAGTTCAGTTTTGTAGTTTCAGGCAGATACCATGCTAGTGTCACACCATGGCTCTCAATTGACCTGTGGCAGAGCAGTGTCATCCACACTCATTCTGTCAACACTCTTTACAATACTGGTGCAAGAGAGCAGAAGATGAAACCACCACACAATCCCTTGCAAAAAAATGGCAGAGCCACCAGCTTCCCTCATGCCTCTGCAAATCAGTCTGGAGGTTGCACTAATGTCCACTCTAAATCAAACTATTGATGCAAAATCTAAATGCAATATCTAAAAATAGGATTTAAAAAAAAATTTATAAAATGAGTTTAAAACTCTCTGCAATCTAAATTCTTACAGGGCATAGAAATAAACTCTCAGAAAGTGTAACCTTATAAGGGTCTCATCATCTCTGCAGTCACGTATGTGAGTAGAAGTTGTATGGACACTGACAGATGAGTTAGGTCCCATCAGCTGCCATCTCAATAACAGATTCTAACCTATGAAGAATCAGAAAGAATGTGGTCCTCCACCACTTGCAGAGGACCAAAACCACCACGTTAAGTACCTGATACTGAGGTCTTAATGCACAATTTACATTACACCAGTGATATAAAGCTTTTTGAGACACCAAAGTCAGGTATAACCATTTACAGACTTTTTAAAGTTGTCTTGGCTGCTTTCCTTTGTTTAAGCACATTAAAGAGGAAGAATAAACCTCTTATAGTATGGTGGCTTCATACAATTCTGTTCAGAAGACAAAAATAATCAAAACCCTGTAATTTTCAGCTCATCTTAATTATAGATGAAAAAAATCAGATGGACGAATAAAGACACAGTATTACACTTTCCCCTAGACATTCCTGTCAGGACACAAGCTGGTCTCATTTATTTTAAACAGAAACAGAAGTTGCTTTTGTCTCTCCCTTTTATTCCTTTTTTTTTTTTTGAACTACCAGAACACTCAGTGCTTCACTACATACCAAGTTTGATTTTACTGTCTTTATCTAGGTTGAATTTTTGTATCTTTTCAGCCTTGGCCTCTCCATGGTCTATGAATGCCTACTTAGCTTTACACACAGAATTAAATCATTTCATTGCATAAAGTAACTATGATCCAGTAGATTTCAGTCAGTGCCACTTGCCCTGAATTTAAAACAGTGAGTTAGAAGATAAAATCATCCATGTTCTTCCCAAACAATCAAAACCTTTTAATCCTAATTTTAAAAAAATTTCTTTCTTTATGTCTTAATACTTAAAATAATTCTTCTTGTGTTACCAATGCCTGTAGCAGATTTGTACCTGTTATTTTCAGACATACTATTTTTTTTCCTTTTTAAAGAATTCATTCTTAGGTAAATGTCATACTATTATGAAACAATGCAAATTTACTCAGATAGGCCAATGCATTACTTATGTATGAAGGACAGTTCATCATTCACAGTACGATGGTCTATGTCACTCTGGACTCCCTGAACAGCTAGAGTTTTGCAGCAATTTCTGTGACTCTCTTTTCAGTCAGAGAGAGTTACAAAGTTTGTGTCAAGATCAGTCAGTATTGCTCTCACTACAAAAAGATTTTTAAGAAATCATGTATGTCTTTACTAATCTGTAGGTGCATGCGGAAGTCACACTAAAGGCACCAGGATATAAGGAACTGCTCAAATTACTTTCTTGAAACAGGACCTTAAAAACTGTACCTCAGATGAGTCTGATAACTGAAGTGAAAAGAAATGTCTTTATACCTCAAAATTTGTTAGTTTACTAAAAATTCTAAATTTCAGAAATCAAAAAAAAAGTATTTTTTCATAAAATTTTCAGTTTTGTATAGAATAAAAAGGGTAAAATACACACAGTATACTGACCAAATTCTGATAAGATAGTCTTTCTTCTTTCCATTAATAAATACTACTGCAATATTTTTGTAGAATGATCAGAAATAATTGACTTCATAACCATTTCACAGAAAACACCCTGTTTTTCATGCACAACTTTTTTCCCTATTAAGAAGACGATTTTAGGATTAGTTTCTGTTAAGGTTTGAATCAATAAACGTTAAGAGAGGCTGTTACTTCTATATTTTTAAAGAATAAAATTATTTTTAAAACTTATTTGAAACGTAAAGGAGCAATTACTCTATTAAAGAAAATTAAAAATATACACAGTCAACAAATTAATTGACTGGGGAATAAGAGAACACTTAATAAGCAGCCCTAGCAGACCTTTGTCCAGTACTCAGCTCACAATGAGAACCTGAATAAAGTAAGTCAAGATGTTAGCTCAATACATTCTACTCCTAGTTTCACCTGTTAGTCTTCTCATATGGAGGTACGCCTTATATTCTGCTTTAACAAAGGATAACGTCTTGATCACCACAGAGTAGCTTCTTCATTCAAATAAAATTCCCTTTTGAATATATAATACTGTAATATATATATATAACTTCCATTTGGATTTATTCTGCAAAGGAAATCTTTAATGAGCTATGTAACTTACCTGCTATTGCCCTCTTCCCACTGTTTTAATTGTTGTTTTAGTGCTCTGTAGCTGGTCTGTAACATCTGCAGCCTCTCCTTGCCTTTTTCATGGGCTGCTCTTAGCTTATCGGTTTCTCGAGTCTGTATAGCACCAGAAAAACAAATTTAGAGTTGGGCAAAGTGTAAGAGACTGTCATATGAAATGAAAGTTCTGTTTAAGTAACTATTAAGAACCTCAGAAAATTAAATAGAATTATCAGGAATCACCATTCCTGAGGTCAAATTCTTTATAATGTTACCTTAGCAAAGTTTGTTCACCTGGAAAAATCTGCTTCAATTTTTGTATCATGCTGTTGATAGGTTTAAAAAAATTCAGTACCAAAAATTTCAGTTCTCATCCAGTGAATGAAATGGCCTAACACAGTTAAAAATATATAGACTGAAAAAGGATTATTGTCACTGCCTTTTCCTCCAAACTACTTTTTCTTTCCTCAGGGAAATCTAATCTATGGATTTTCTAGGGGAACATTGGCTACAATGAGGTTCACATCAAAACCCTCTAAATTTAAATAGCTTCAGGATTTTCTCATATACTAATTTATTTCTGTAAATATATAAAAACATGCAACACACAGACTTTCTTCTCTAGTTACGTAACAAATTGGAAATAAGAACAGATCCTGTAACAGCTTTTATATAATCAAAACCATATGAAAAAATACTTTTTTCTTTTTATACAGTGAAAAGTATACATTGATATGTATTACAGGACAATGTTATGCAAGTTTAAAAAAAGATTTTCCTAAGTGACAATATCATGCTCTGAAAAAAAAATTAACATTAAGAGGAGGAAGCAAGTCAAATTCTGTCATATAGCAGTAAAGAATTCACCAGATATTATCCTGTAGTAAAATTTTCCTTTAGTGCTTCATTTCCAGTTCATTGGAAACTCTGCTTGTAGAGCAGCTACAGAACATGTTCCTTAATCTCTGAGTAAATCAAAATATTTTATTTGCATGTATTTGCTGTTTATATGCAAAGAAGACTTTTCAGCATTAATCAATAACTAGTCTGACCAACAGTCAGAGCTGCAAGCAGCAAAAATTAAATCCCACTATAGAACATGGCGAGGTTTCCACAGCAGTGCTAACTAACTACCAAGTAGCTAAATTGAAATAATTCTAAAATGTAGCCCATCTTTCATGATGCATAAACAAAGCTGAAAGATACCTCCTAAAATTTCAGATGCTACTACATATACAACACCAGAAGGTTTCTGTAAGTGACTCCAGCAAGACAGAAAGTAGATTTAGGAAGAGAAGCAGATACCAAAGTGACCTTATCATTAAATACTTCTCCTAAGTAGTGTCTTTTTTTTTTCTGAAACAATCTCTAGCATTTAAAAATTCAGAATTGCTTACAAAGTACTTTTGACCAGTTTTAAGTGGCTCCTATAAATATTACAATGATACTAAAAACATTCACACAAACAGCAAGATAAATTTATGACAAAGAACATGAAGACTACTACTAAGCTTTGCATGACACTCCAAGAGGAAATTTTTATAAGAATCCAATTGTAGATGTTGTGTTTTCAAGAAAACATTGTTCTGAGATTGATATCGCAAGTTAAAACTAATCAAGTCTGGCAAGGTACTGGAAAATAATGTCTTCAGCATAAATCCTCAGAAGTTTATTAGTGTCAATGCCCTTTCAGAGACACAAGCAAGTGTAGAATTTGATCTTTCCTATTTTTGCATTATTGCTTACTCATTCCATTATCCAGTCTGCTACAGTTATTCCCTACCCTTATCAGTTGCTCTGTTGTTGCAGAAATAGAAATCAAACAATTAACTGTGTTAATCACTCTCTTTTATTGAAATACTAAGCAGTGCAGCACTTTAAATTTACCCCGTAATTTCCATTATCTCAGTTTGTCCCATCTCCATCTTCCAGAATCATGTAATTTTTTTTTAATAATTAAACTGTCCTGTATACAGGGTTTTGTATTTGGACAGAACAACCATCTCTAGCAGTGCTTGGCCTACAGTTCTTCTCTAGCTCTCCACTGTCATCGTATAGTGCTTTCTATGCAATAATGAAAGACAAAATGACAAAGGCCAATCTGCAGGACAAATAACCCAAATGCCTGTGAAAAAAAAAGTTATCATTTGCAGGCAGATCAGACAAGTCAAAAGATTCTAATCATTACTTAAAAATTTTGCTGGAATTGACCTGTATGAACTTCCACTATAGTAAAAACTGAACTAAAATGGAATTAAAAAATATAGTGATTAATTTCTTTGACTACTTAGGATGACAGTAAGTGAGGAATCTGACCATTACAAAAGTAGCTTTTTCCACAAGCAGTTATGTGAAAAAGACACCATATTAATATATTTTTGGCATCTGAACACTGTACATGGAACAGGACTATATATGAAATTTGAACTAAATGTGTGTCCTCACTTGCATAAAAAAGAATTTAGGTGGCCCCAGAGACTGATCTACCTATTCTAATTCTTTCCAAAATTTTAGAAGTTTGAAAAAAAGGATGAAAGGACTCAAAGGGAAGATCTCCCACTGTGTTTGGAAACTTTTCATTTAAAGCCAGGTTTACCTCCTGGTATTTATTATATAAATACTAAAACATATAAACATAAAAATACTAAAATATAAATA